AATTCCCATATGATGTGAGATTAAAACCAGTGCCTGATGCATCAGTAGCACCTTTAGGGCTAGTAGGACCAGTAGCACCTTTAGGGCCAGTAGGTCCAGGGACACCCTGAGCACCAGCAGGTCCAGGCGGGCCAGGAGGTCCTTGAGGGCTAGTAATACCGCGTTTTTCTTTCCTATATAATTGATTATAATTAGGTTGCTGATTAAATATTCCCATTTTATAATATTATATTAGATATTTCCATAAAAGTTTCTTTTGACAGTCTTCATTGGTTTGTCAACATACGGGAATGAATATGGTTGTTTGGTGGCTTTAATTTATTGGTCCTTTGTTACATTCAACTCTCTAGAAATCATATTTCTCTCATTACTGCTAGGGAAATCATAAATTACATAATGACTGCAGTTCAATCTGATATCTTTTGGAGTTTTATAAAATGATTGCGAAAGGTAAATAACACTGCAGTTCCTATGACGGCCTTGAATGAAATAATCGGTAAGCGGCTTTTGGTTTTTATCACAAATGAAGTCATCAAATATCACAATTTTCTGGGCATCGCTCTCCCGACTATTTACAGGTTTAATGTCATCATTATTGCAATGCATTACGTCATATCCAGCCTGGCTACTAATGTCATTCATTGTTTCCATCATGTGTCGATACTTTTCCTGTTCCAAGTTTTTACCGTATAAATGGATCTGGTCATAGTAGACTAATGGTTTCTTAAGGATGTGATAAAGCAGGTTTGTTTTGCCTGATCCTGAATTAGCGCATATTGGCATCCTAAAATTGGATTTGGGCATATACTTATACAGTTGTTTGAAGTTTGTATTTTCATCTTCATTGAAATCATAATTTGGAATCTCCATTATACTATTATATTAGATAATTTAAGATAAGTTCACATAAGTTGAGATAAGTTTTATATAATGTACTAGTATAATGGATATTGAAGGATTCAAGAGACTCAGCATTCCTAAAATTGAAGCAGGAAAAATGACTGAAGTTGTTAGGGATGTTATGAAAGAAGTTCGAACTAATAAGCAGAATGTTTACGAAAAGACATCTGAAGACTTGAAACCTCTAACTGAAAAGTTTGATAAGGAGGTGGAGGAGATCAGTAAATTGAGAGAAGATTTCAATAAACAAGTTGTTCCATATGCTGAGCAAGTTCAAAGATTAGCACTACCAGGCCTAAGTGGTGAGGTGGCACCCAAAATGATAGCTGATATGAATAAAGGATTTACTCAAGAAGAACTGGCATTCATACAAAACCAGGAATTGCCATTACCAGCTGAAATTTTTTTGCAAACCTTAAAACAGCCAAATTATGCGAGACAAATATTAGATAAATCCGGTGAAATAAATAAGAAATTGGGCCAGAAAAAAGCCCATTTGTGCACAACAAAAGCTAACAGAAAGAAAAATAAGGATGAAATTGCCGAGTATACTGAAGGAATTGATATCATAAGAAAATACAGACAACGAATTGGTATTTTAGAGGAAGATGCAAAAACAATGAAATTTGGTCAGGGTATTTATACACAAAAAAGAGAAATGCTTATAAGGTTAACTCACAAACCGGTGTTTATGGAAATGTAACAATTGACGTACCCAAACTTTATGGCCAGCTTAAACTAATTGCTCATAAGAATGGTAAAAAAGTATATGATAAGCAAGTGGACTTCGATACCCTTGATCTGCTTACAAAGCAGTTCAATAGTAAAAAGAAGTATTCACCATTATCAAAAATGGTATTTGATGACCTGAACAGAATAAGTGATATTCCAATTCACCGAACAAGTAATAAATACAAAAAAGTCGGTGCAGGTGTAGTTTATTATAATAACCCAGCTGACCTACTGGACAGATTGGAATTATTAGGTGGATCCATATTGGCTGGAAATAATGGTGTGAAAAATGAATTTTCCAAAATTGCTCACACACTGAACAAATTAGGTGTTCTAAATAACAACCAGCTTAATAGTCTGTTGAAGGAATATGTAATCTAATAATATAAATGCAAGAAAGAGCAATCCATATATCATCTGTTGATAGACAGAAAATCGGACGGAATAAAGCAGAGGATTTCATAATCAAATTCGATCCAGTGTTAAAACTCCAAAATGATATGATAAACGAAATAGCATTGGATAAGGTCACAATGACTTACAGTTGGCATAATATTTCAGATCAGTATCAAAATAATGAAATAAAATACTCACCTGATGGTGGAACATCATGGGAAACCGTCAAATTTGTGGATGGGATGTATACTTACTCAGACCTAAATGACTATCTCCATCAGTAAATGAAAAAAAAAGGCCATAAAAATACTGATGCAAAAAAGGATGATGTATACTACATTAATCTAACATTTGTATTGTCCACATATAAGATTCTCATTCAGATCGACAACAATTACCAACTGGATCTGAGAAATAGTAAATTTGGCGAGTTAATTGGATTTACAGAGAAAATTGTGAAGAAAACAGAATATGGGGATGGTAATCTGCCTAATATCACAAATTCCATTGATATGATCTATATCAATACCGATGCCATTACGAACAGCATATTGAATGGTGTTAATACTAATACTTTAGCTGTTATTCCAACCAACAATTTGACAAGAAGCTTCCCATTCACATTTGAACCCAGAAGACTATTGTTTAATGAAGTTTCGCAGCTTAATATTTCACAAATGAGGTTTTACATCACAGACTCAATGGGGCGACCAATTGGACTTAATAAGATTGACTGGTTTATGACATTGATATTGCGATCCAAACCAGAAAGAAAGTTGTTTGGAAAGACCATGAAGGAAGCTGCTAAAACAGCGACCAAGAAGGCTGTTCAGAAAGCTGCTACCAAAACTGGCGAGTATGCCGGCGAAAAAGCAGGCGATAAAATTTTTCAGTTATTAAGCAAAAAGAATAAAAACACAAAAACACTAGTAGCAGCGTTACCAATAGAAAATCCACAATCAAGAGAGCTAAGCGATTACGAGATTAATGAGAGGGTGAATCAATTATTATCCGGTGGTCAGATGAGAAGATTTATGTAATCTATTATTATATGAAATCATTTAGAGATCCAAACTATGTTGAACGATATGAAGATGTTATTTTTGACCTAGAAACAGCACTAAATACAACTGTCGCCAATAATGCTCATCAGAAGAAAGATGGCTATAGGTTTGTTGTTGATAACAGTGGTGAGGTTACACCATTTGACTGGTATAATGTTCGTATCAGTCTTGATTTTAAAGTAGTCTTGCTGGCTAATGGAGGTAGCATTGCAGTAGCAGATCATAATGGTATTGTAAACGGGTCGTACTCACTGTTGAAACATTTTGATATTGAGCTCAATGGTAAGAAAGTGTATGATTGCAATGACGCGAATCACGCGGTTAATATTAAGAACTTACTTGAGTACAGTCCATCTTACGCTGATAAGACAGCTAGTAATGAGTTTTTCTATCTTGATACATCCNAATCAAGAGAGCTAAGCGATTACGAGATTAATGAGAGGGTGAATCAATTATTATCCGGTGGTCAGATGAGAAGATTTATGTAATCTATTATTATATGAAATCATTTAGAGATCCAAACTATGTTGAACGATATGAAGATGTTATTTTTGACCTAGAAACAGCACTAAATACAACTGTCGCCAATAATGCTCATCAGAAGAAAGATGGCTATAGGTTTGTTGTTGATAACAGTGGTGAGGTTACACCATTTGACTGGTATAATGTTCGTATCAGTCTTGATTTTAAAGTAGTCTTGCTGGCTAATGGAGGTAGCATTGCAGTAGCAGATCATAATGGTATTGTAAACGGGTCGTACTCACTGTTGAAACATTTTGATATTGAGCTCAATGGTAAGAAAGTGTATGATTGCAATGACGCGAATCACGCGGTTAATATTAAGAACTTACTTGAGTACAGTCCATCTTACGCTGATAAGACAGCTAGTAATGAGTTTTTCTATCTTGATACATCCAGAAATGCGGAAGAGCGGGAATTTGAAGTTAGTGGTACAAACCAGTTAGCCAAAAGGCGAGCAGCTTACAATAAGGGTTTTGCCCTTCGAAAAGCAGTCTTAGGTGTCTCATCCACAGTAAATACAGAAATACCACTGAATAGATACTCATTTTTCGAAATGTTAGAGGATGGGCTGTTACCCAATACAAGGGTTGAGATGAATTTTGAGATTGAGTCAGACGGTAATCTAATTTGGCAAGCCGGGGCTGATTGCAGAGTGGTTATTACTAGGATGCAGTTGTATGTTCCACGGATAACCTTTAACAGTGAAGGCCAATCATCCTATATGAGCCAATACCTTAAAAATCATAAGTGGACTTATTTGAGAGAGAATATTGAAAGATCAAATAGTAGCCAGCAGAGAGCTGGGTATTTCAGAATATCTTCTGGTATTTCGAAACCCCGACACGTGTTTGTATTCATAATCAATGATGCGAATATCGATGCCCAGACAGCTAATCCATTCTTGTACAACACATTCTCTGTATCAACTGACCCAAGAACCTTATCCAATTGTCACCTGGAAGTTGGAAATGGTAACGAATACCCCGAAATACATTACACACCAACTACTGATATGACCAGAGTCTTCAGGAATGTGTTGAAATATGTTCACAAAAATAATAAATACGGTGAAGGGTCATTACTCAATAAATCTAATTTTAGTACCCTGTTTCCATTCCTATATTTCGACCTAACAAAACAGAAAATGGACATTAAGGACGTCACTACAAAACTGACATTCAAATATGAGCTATCTGGAACAACGGCAACAGCCTACTCAATTTACGCATTAACATTATATGAGCAAGATGTTGAGCTAATACAGAAGGATGGCAAAATAATACTCAGATCGTAAATTGAATATGCTTAAAATTATGTAACATATATTATATTTAAGTATTGACAAAATATTATCCTTATGGTGTGTCACTTAGTAAAGGATAATTGGAAAAGCTTTCGAGAGCTTATAATAATAATTCAGCAATAACCATCAGACTTACCAGAAATGAGTTATCCGGACCACATGAATTAATGCTCACAAAAACTCAGATCAATAAATTGAAAAAAGCAATGAGCCAGGGTACAGGGTCGGATATCAAGGTATCAAAAACGCAAATCAGAAAGGCTGTTAGACAGGGTGGTAGTTTGTGGGGATCATTAATCAGTTTAGGAAGCAAGTTACTACCTATGGCAATGCCATTAGCCAAAAAAGCTATCGCACCGCTTGCAACAGGCGCGTTATCAGGTTGAGCCAGTCTCGGTGTGGATAAAATATTGGGAAAAGGTCAACGAGGAGGTTTTCTTATTCCAATAGATAAAATAGCACAATTGGTTGCGTCCAAGCATTTACTGACCACAGGTCAGAAAAAGGATATTCTTAAGTCTCTCCAAACTGGCAACGGATTAGTTATCAGACCGACGAAAACACAGAGCGGCGGATTTCTTGGTACTCTACTAGCGAGTATAGGTGTCCCTCTGTTACTAAATGCATTGACGGGAAAAGGACTGCAGGCTGACAGAACCGGTTCCGCTAATACAACATCTGTTTATGTTCCCGATACAACTAATTGCCACGGAATGTATAATCCGTATCCCTACATGTCGCCACCTTTCTTTGGAACAATGGAAAACCCGGTTGGTGCGGGAGTGAAAAAACAAAGAAAGGGAAAGAGACTGCTGCTCGGAGAAAACAGCCCATTCAATTCAATCCCAATTCTAGGAACAATACTGTAAGATTCATAAACAAACCATTATCGAATATTGATTTGTTACAATGGGTTACACAATTAGGAATTAAATATTTCAGGGGTATTTACAGCCGTGATAATTTACCAGACAAAATACATAAATTAGAAACAGGAATAATTAATCTCGATGATTCAATGGGCGGGGGCAGTCATTGGGTTTGTTATAGAAACGTGGATAAGCAATATTGTGAGAATTTTGATCCGTTCGGATTAATCATGCCCAATGAGATTAAACATTATCTGAAAACAAGCGGTAAAAAAATGGTGTACTCATCAGATGAAATACAAGAAAGAGACAGTGTTTTGTGTGGTTATTGGTGCTTATATTATCTCCTGGAGAGAAAGAAAGGGAAATCATTATTAGACGTTATACACAACCCCAAATTCAGTTTCACAAATGAAATGATAAATCACCAAATTCTGATAAACTATTTTATGTCATCCATATTTATAAGATGACTGAAAAGTTCTGTGTTTATTGCCAAGAAATTACTCCGCATTTTGTTAATCAATATGGATGTTTCGAGTGCTGCAACTGTGAACCCTTAAGTGAGGGTGATTATAAGTCAGATAGCAGCCATGATACTTATGTTCCAGACAGTATTGATAGTGATTAGACAATAATTATATAACATAAATATATAATAATGGCGAAATCTTATTGTGTTAAACAGAAGAAGCAAACAGAATGTGTAGAACCTTCGGGTTATAAACAGCCAAAAATGGTAGGCTAATGTTTTGGTGCACTTGTGCTGAATGCGGAATAAAAAAGTTTAAGTTTGTCAAAAAGGGAAACTAATTGGGCCCTCTCAAGCAGGAGGCGATTTACTTGATACCGCTGTAGGAACTGCTACTGATCTGTTTGTACATCACGCTCTTCCATGGATGGGTAAAAAAGCAGTTGAGATGGGGAGATGTTACGGGTCAGAAGCATTACGCAATAAAAAGTTACAGAAAAAAAGCTATCGACTACTCTCTGGACAAATTAAATCCAGTAATACACAATGTGGGGTCTCAGGCTCTTGACCAATTATCAACCAAAATACGACCAAAGAAAAACTACAAAACTAACAGAAAAGATTTGGATGGTGGTGCTATAGATATCCACAAGCAGATTGGTAAATTACCAAGACCCGCAGGTGGTTGGACATTACCACGCCATAAATACACAGGGCCTTACAACGATCTCGAAAATCAAGTCAGATACAATCCAGAAACTGGTGAAATATTAGAAATTTATGATCAACCAACTGGGCCAACCGATGCCGTGGCCATGCAACATGATGTTGATTATAGTGTTTGTGGTGATAACCGAAAGTGCAAAAATAAAGCTGACCGTAAAATGGTAAAATCGTTAGACGCCATTCCTTATAATGAACGACAATGGGG